CTAAAAATGTTGTAATTTAACTTTTACCAACAGCGTGTGAGAATACCTGTTTTTCCACATCCTCATCAACTGTAGATACTATCAATCTTCTCCATTTTGCTAATCTGATAGAAAAATCAGTTTTTGGTTTTTTTTTTTTTTTTGAGTTGGAGTCTCACTCTGTCGCCCACACTGGAGTGCAGTGACCGCTCCCGGCCACCGCAGCCTCGACCTCCTGGGCTCCAGCAATCCTTCTGCCTCAGCCTTCCAAGTAGCCGGAATTACAGGCATGTGCTACCACGCCCGGCTGATTTTTTTTATTTATTGTAGAGATGAGGTCTCGCTGGCCAGGCGGGTCTCGAACCCGCAGGCTCAGGCAATCTACTCACCTCAGCCTCCCAAAGGTGCGGGATTACAGGCTGAGCCACCGAGCCCAGCTAGAAAAATCAATTTTTAAAATTTGGATTTCCTTGTTGGTTTCTCTTGTCTGTGCCAGCTCTGACATGTCTATCTCTCCTCTTTTTCTTCTCTAATAAACTTTGTTTGAACGGTTTAAAAAAAAATTGCATTTCCTTAATTGCAATTGGGGCTGAGCATCCTTTCATAGATTTACCGGCCATTTATATTTCTTTTTTCTATGAACCAGCTGTTTATGACTTGCCCATTTTTGTACTATATTGTGTATCTTTTTCTGATTGGTTTGTGGGAGCACCATATATTATGGGTAATCAATCTTTTGTCTGTTTTTACATATCAGCCTTGTCAGTCTTTTTCTTTGTATGTTTTGAGTGACTTTTAGAATGTCTTCATAACTATTATTATATCCATGTTCTGCTATTTTTATGGCATTTCATTTATAGGTTTAAGAATTTAGTTGACTGGTAGGTGGTGGGGATCTATTGTTTTCTACATGTGTAGTTATCTGTATGTTTTGTTAAATCCTGTTCAGAACATTTGGTCTAATTTTTTATATTTATAGACAGGAAATTATTTACTATCCAGAAGAAACTTAATTTAATGACTAAATAAGTCTTTTAAATGGTATACTCTCTTCTTGAATTTAAATTCAATTGGTTTATGTCGGTGTAGATTCAGGTTTTCTGGGGCCTGAAGTTTATATAATTTAGAGGGTTCTCGATTTTTTTTTTTTTTTTTTGAGTACACTCTGTCACCTAGACTGAAGTGCAGTGGTACGCTCTTGGCCACCTCAGCCCCGACCTGCTGGGCTCTGGCGATCCTTCTGCCTCAGCCTTCCAAGTAGCTGGAACTACAGGGGCGTTCTACCACGCCCAGCTAATTTTTTGATTTATTGTAGAGATGAGGTTTCACCAAGTTGCCCAGGCGGTTCTCAAACCCACAGGCTCAGGCAGTCCACTCACCTCAGCCTCCCAAAGCACAGGATTACAGGCTGAGCCACCAAGCCTGGCTAGAGGATTCTCTTATGTTCTTTTTTCTTTTTTTTTTTTTTTGTGTTGAGTCTCACTCTGTCGCCCAGGCTGGAGTGTAGTGCCATGCTCCTGGCCACTGCAGCCTTGACCTGCTGGGCTCCGGCGATCCTTCCTCCTCAGCCTTCCAAGGAGCTGGAACTACAGGCACACACTACCATGCCTGGCTAATTTTTTGATTTACTGTAGGGACGAGGTCTCACCAAGTTGCCCAGGTGGGTCTCGAACCCGCGGGCTCAGGCAATGCACTCCCCTCGGCTTCCCAAAGTGCAGGGATTACAGGCTGAACCACTGAGCCCGCCTTTTATGTTCTTATGTTTAGAGGATTCTTTCATATTATTATGAACAGGCCCATGTAGGTTCAGAGACCTGAAATTCAGGCTTCCTTCGCTTCCCCATAAATTTGCCCTGGTGACATTATCAGAATGCATCTGTTACATAAAAGGATGAAGAATGGCCTTCTCCATCTCTGGAGTGGTATGACTTTCTTTTATATTCAACAACTGCCACAACTTTAGGATTTTTTTCCCTTTGCTTGTTTTTTAAACAGACATTTAAGAGTAGACATATACATCAAGGTAGCTTGAATGTTGGAGTGGAGTTAGTCCTGTGGAGGAGTTCTTTCAGCAGAGCCTTTGCCACCTCTGCATTGCTCAGATGTAATGTATTTGATCGGTGAAGTAGCTGAGAGCTCGGTATAATAATGGGGATTGTTAATCTTGCAAGCCTTTGGAACCTGAATTTACAGCTTTAACTTTGCATATCTGTTTACAGTTGCATTAGACTTTGGTCAGTGCTTTCGAGAGATTTGCAGATGCAACTAACAGGGCTTTCTTTAGTACCCTACCCTTCAAAAAACTGAGGAGGCAGACAGTGACCAGTGTTGTCATAAGTAATGCAGAGGATGACAATAATAATGATACATGAGTTTCACCAGCAGCCAGACAACTTGCTAAATGCTTACCAGGATTGTCTTACTTCTGATCACTCCTATGAAGGAGGCACTATTATGACCCTCACTCAACAGATAAGAAAGCTGAGTTTTGGAGAAAGGATACCTTTTACCTTATTCAAGACCTCCAAGGGATACTCCAGAGCCCCCTTTTCAAGGTTCTCTAAGGCCACTGCTTTCACTTGACAGATAAGAAAGTAGACTTGGGAGACCTGAGATCTTTTGGCATCAGATTGTGTATGTCAAGTATAGCTTTTTAAACTGCGGGTTTTATTTCATTCAGTCCCTATGAGAATCCTGCAAGGTAACTACTGTTATCCCTACTTTGCAGATGAGAAAACTGAAATGCAAACATCTCCAAGGTCATATAGCTACTAAGAAAAGAAATGAGATAGAACCTTAAGAGCCGGGCTCCTACCTGCACTTTGCAGCTGCCTCCCAAGGAAGTACCATTAAAGCTCAGTACAATCCCACTTACTGTGTTGCTGGGCCTCCTCAAATAGAAATTGAGGTCCTTTCTTTCTTTTTTTCTTTTTTTTTTTTTTCTTTTTGAGTTGAAGTCTCACTGTGTCACCTAGGCTGGAGTGCAGTGGCACGAACTGCTGGGCTCAGGTGATCCTTCCGCCTCAACTTTTCAAGTAGTGGAAACTACAGGCATATGCTACCACGCCCGGCTAATTTTTTGATCTATTGTAGAGATGAGGTCTTGCCAAGTAGTCTAGGTTGGTCCTGAATCCATAGGCACAGGTACCTCTCACCTGGGCCTACCAAAGTGCTGGGATTATAGGCATGAGCCATCATGCCCAACCCTCTTTTTTTTTTTTGAGTTGGAGTCTCATTCTGTTGCCCAGACTGGAGTGCAGTGGCCACTCCCAGCCACCGCAGCTGCAACCTGCTGGGCTCCGGCAATCCTTCCGCCTCAGCCTTCTAAGTAGTTGGAATTACAGGCGTGCGCTACCACGCCTGGCTGATTTTTTGATTTATTGCAGAGATGAGGTCTCGCTGCCCAGGCGGGTCTCGAACCCGCGGGCTCAGGCAATCCACTCACCTCAGCCTCCCAAAGGCACGGGATTACAGGCTGAGCCACCGAGTCCGGTTAACCCTCTTTTTTTTAAATGAAGAAATGCCCAGACTGGGTTACAAAAACTGTGGTATTTTTAAAATATTTACATTTGACAAGTTCCTATCAAAAAACAATGCAGTACAACTCTGCTATTTGCAAGATAATTATGGGATTCAAAAGAAATATTAACTCATGGACTTTTCCAGTCAGGGTGATACCGGAATGAGATACAATTTTTTTTTTTTGAGTTGGAGTCTCACTCTGTCACCCAGACTGGAGTGCAGTAGCACGCTTCCAATCACTGCAGCCTCGACCTGCTGGGCTCCAGCGATCCTTCCACCTCAACCTTCCAAGTAGCTGGAACTACAGGTGTGTGCTACCACTCCCGACTAATTTTTGATTTATTGTAGAGACAAGGTCTCGCCAAGTTGCCCACGTAGGTCTCAAACCCACGGGCTCAAGCAATCCACTCGCCTTGGCCTCCCAAAGTGCTGGAATTACAGGCTGAGCCACCGAGACACCGAGACCCGCCGAGATACAATTTAAACCGAGCCTGGCCAAGATACAATTTAAAGTTGATAATAAATGTCTCTTTTCAACCATGTATCTGTTTGGTTGGAAGACTTCATTTAGAAAGATACCAGAAGTCTTAAACTTGAGGCGGTTTAAGAATGAGAGGGTAGACAATGTCTCCTTTGTGTTTCCAATGTTGGTGGCTAAGAGAATAAATGTTTCTAGAAGATTATACTAAAGAACTGAACTTTGTTGTTTTTGGTAAAAAGAGCCACTGAATGCTGATTTATAAGTGTTTTTGATTTTATATTTCACTATATGTTTCACTTTAGTTTCTTTTAAATATCCTTTAATTTTTTATTTCCTGGTCAGATTTAAGTTTTCTGGGGAAAAAAAGGACTATTTATTTTTTTAATCAGAGGATAGATTTCCAAGTCATTGTTCCCAGAGGAATAAATTAGAATGCAAGGCCTATTCTGACCTTACTAGTGACTTTTCTGTAGCCTTAGGAAAATCAATTAACCTCTTACTCCTTTTTTTTTTTTTTGTCTGTATAATAGGAATGGCAGTATTGGTATCAGATTTTTCCAAAGTATTTTTTAGAGACTTGAGTGAAAGTTATTAATAATATTGCCTGCGTTGTTCCCGGCTCCCTCTAGCAATTGGCTCCAATTACCACTCATTTAGAAGCATTTGTAGGTAAGACTCTTATCACTGTTGTGTTTTGTAGTTGCAAATTCAAAAATGATGTTTTCGAAACAACTGCTTTCTTTGAGAGTTAGAAAACATGGTGACATTTCCATACAAATGTCACATTCTTATTAGCACCTATCCATCCCATATGGGATTATGCAACTCTGTTCATAGATATAATCAGCTTTGTATTTTCATTCAAGGATAACAAACTAGCAAGGTTGAAATCTTGACTTGTCATCGGAATTGAATTGCTCCCTGGAGCTGGGAGGGAATGAAATTGAGTGAGCCCTGTTCAGAAATGGCATTGTCTTTAGAATCTTAATCGCCTGCTCTTCCTCTCTTCTCCTTTCAGTATGGTGACTACGACCCCTCTGTTCACAAGCGGGGATTTTTGGCCCAAGAAGAATTGCTTCCAAAAAGGGTAAGAAATCAAATTCCCGACTGGGCTCGGTGGCTCAACCTGTAATCCCAGCGCTTTGGGAGGCTGAGGCAACTGGATTGCCTTAGCCCGCGGGTTCAAGACCCGCCTGGGCAACTTGGTGAGACCTTGTCTCTACAAGAAATCAAAAATTAGCCAGGCGTGGTAACGCATGCCTGTAGTTCCAGCTCCTTGGAAGGCTGAGGGGGAAAGACAAGGCTGCAGTGGCTGGAACCGTGCCACTGCATTCCAGTCTGGGCGATGGAGTGAGACACCAACTCAATAAAAAGAAAAAAAGAAAGAAATCAAATTCCCTGTTTGGGAAGACATAGCAGATAGTCTAAAAAAAAGCTCACTGAAGAACTTGAAGGAATATTGGAAGCATATGACAAGAAAATTTTAATAAATATTTTGTAATTTTTTTATGGTCAAACACAATGATTTATTAAAATAAAACGTAAAAATGATTTTTGTACATATGCTTCCAAATTTCAGGCATGGGATCCAAGTAAGTTTTATAGAAAATACTGTAGCCAGGTATCAAGTCCTTATAACAACGTAAACTACCCCTCCCCCCAACCCCTGCCCAGGTTTTGCTACAAAATCAGCAAGTTCACTACCTCCCTCCCCAAAAAACACAAAAACAAGATATTTTGCTAGTATTAAAAAGACCAAGGACCAAGTAATAATAAAAAAAGAGAGTCCATCAATGACTGTAACACAAAAATGTATATGTGGGGCCAAGTCCATCTTCAGAGGGAGACAAGAGAGGTGGCAGGCAAGTAGGGGGACGTCCCCTAGGGCAGGCAGCCTCTGAAGCGGGCTCCCTGAGGGCAAACAGGGAAGGTGGAGGAAGGTGGTGGGGAAAGACGTAGGAACTGACCCCACTGGGGCTGTCAAAAAGTACTACTCCTAGAGCTGCTCCCGGGCATTCTGGTCATTGTTTAGAAGGAGCTGCCCCCGTAGCCACCCCTCCTGCCGTAGCTGCCTCTGTATGGTCCACTGTTGCTGCAGCCGCCCCAGCTGCCACTGCCGCCGCCCTTCATGGGCCTGTAGGAGGACTGGTGCAATATTTTGTAATGTTGAGTAAAGAGTATAGAATCTCTGCTGAGAATATAGAAAGCAAAGACTCATGGAGTTAGTTTGGGATTGCCAGGACTAGCATGAACTGTGTTTCTAGCATGGTCCTTTCTTGAAAGGTGGTTGAACATCCTTCATTCCTAGGGAGGTGGGTAGGGGACAGTGTGTTTTCAGCCTGGAGAATTGAGCTGTTTGCAGCCATGAGGGGTGGATATAGGAGATGAGGTAGAGGGTGGGCATTGTGGTTTCTAATCCTTGGTGTTCATTAGCCACAGTAGCAGGCCTGCCCTCCCTTTTGCTCCTTCTGATTTTATAGACCCACTCAGCTGTTGTCACTGGCTAATAAGAGCCTGCCTGCTCCTCAACTTTTACTGCCTTTACCTGTTGTTGATGGCTTCTGTGCAGGTGAAGGCCCGAGCACAGTGAGCTTTGCTCCTGACTGAGCTCCTGATGCCAAAGGTGGTCTCTAGGATGTACAACCCAGGCAGGAAGGAGGGGCCACTGCCAGAGTAGGGGTGCACCTAAGTCTGAGTTAGTAGTGCAGCTTTCTGAGTTGCATCTCCAATTGAATGGTGCTTGTTTACACACCCATTTCTGCTTGTGACTGTATCTCTGTGGCTTTTTAAAAATAGCTTTGCTGTTTTGTAAACATGATGCATAATTATAAAGATGGCAAACAGTATCCAAACTTACTTCATGTGTGGGTGTTTTATTTTGCTCTATTTTTTGGTAGGTAATAAATCTGTATCAAATGACTCCAGAAATGTGGGAGGAGAGAATTACTGCCTGGTATGCAGAGCACCGAGGCCGAGCCAGGTGAGGCGCCTTCATGGTTAGCTTACATTTCTTTATGGGTTTTTTTTTCCCCCTTAAAGAACCACAAAACTAGGACATACCTGTTGAACAAAGTATATAAAAGAAACAGAGAGAGCTGGGAGCAATGTGTCTTCAGTTTCATATGTGTCCTTTTCTAGTACATGTGACATAAAGTGGGCATGTGCGCTGCCTGGCAGGATGTGCAGACCGACTATACTCATTGGTAACTGAGTTTAATTTTTTTTTTCCTGAGTTGGAATCTCATTCTGTTGCCCAGGCTGGAGTGTAGTAGCACATTCACGGCCACCCCAGTGTCTACCTGCTGGACTCTGGCAATCCTTCTGCCTCAACCTTCCAAGTAGCTGGAACTACAGTCACATGCTACCACACCCAGCTAATTTTTTATTTTATTGTAGAGACGAGGTCTCACCAAGTTCCCCGGACTGGTCTCGAACCCATGGGCTCAGGCAATCCACTCACCTTGGCCTCCCAAAGTGCTGGGATTGCAGGCTGAACCACTGAACCCAGCCAACTAAGTTTAATTTTAAGAATTCTGTTGGCCAGGCACAGTGGCTCAAGGCTGTAATCCCAGCACTTTGGGAGACCGAGGTGAGGGGATTGTTTGAGCTCGCGGGTTCGAGAACAGCCTAGGTAACTTGGCAAGACCTCATCTCTACACTAAATCAAAAAATTAACCAAGCATGGTAGCGCATGCCTGTAGTTATGGCTACTTGGAAGGTTGAGGTAGAAAGATAACCTGAACCCAGCAGGTTGAAGCTGTGGTGACTGTGAGCGTGCCACTGCACTTCAGCCTGGGTGACAGAGTGAGAGATTCCAACTCAAAAAAACAAAACTGGATGCAGTGGCTCAAGCCTGTAATCCCAGCACTTTGGGAGGCCAAGGCGAGAGGATTACCTGAGCTCAGGGGTTCGAGACCAGCCTTGACAACTTGGTGAGACTTCGTCTCTACAATAAATCAAAAAATAAGCTGGGCATGGTAGCATGCATCTGTAGGTCCAGCTACTTGGGAAACTGAGGTGGAAGGATCGCCTGAGCCCAGCAGATTGAGGCTGTGGTGGCTGTGAGCATGCCACTGCACTCCAGCCTGGGCAATAGAATGAGATTCCAACTCAAAAAATTCTGTTGTGTGAATATCCCATTGCTTTTCATCCATCCCTCTATTGATGTCATTTGGAGTATCTGTAGGTTTTTCACTTTTCAAAAATGTTTGCAGTGCACAATCTTGTATCATTATATAATATTTCTGAGCATAGATTCTTTAAAAGGAGAGTTTTTTTGCATTTTGACAGGTGCCACCAAATTGTTCTCCGTATCCCTCCTGCCCCATTCTATCCTCAACACTTTTTACTTAGTCTGATTTTTTATTTGACTCAGAGTCTCACTCTGTCACCCAGGTTGATTACAGTGGCACGATCATAGCTACTGCACCCTCAACTTGCTGAGCTCACATGGTCCTTCCATCTCAGTCTTTCAAATTGGTGGGACTACAGGCATGCACCACCACACCTGCCTAATCTTCCCCCCCACCTAATTTTTTGATTTAGTAGAGACAAGGTCTCACTACATTGCCCAGGCTGATCTTAAACTCCTGGACTCAAGCAATCCTCTTGCCTTGGCCTCCCTAAGTGCTGGGATTATAGGCATGTACCACCATGCCTGGCCTCAATCTAATTTTTATAACCTTTCATAAAAAGTGAAAAATTGGTTATTGCTTTGTTAAACTCTGGTGTGCCCATGTGGCTCTTTGAGCTATGGCTGCCACGTTTCTTGACATTGGCCCACTCCCCTACAATAGGGCAGGTGAATCTTCTCTCTCTCTAATTTACTTTCTAAATAAACTTTGCTTGAAAACTTTAAAAAAATAAAAAAGTGAAAAATTTCACCTTATGTTTTCTTGGCATTCCTCTGATCACTTTAGAAATTGATCATCTTTTCATTAACCTTTAACATTTTTTTCTTTTGAGTCTGAGTCTCCCAGGCTGGAGTACAGTGGCATGCTCATGGCCACTACAGCCTAGACTTGTCTGCAAGTAGCTGGAACTACAGGCGTGTACCACCACGCCTAGCTAATTTTTTGATTAATTGATTGATTGATTTTTGAGTTGGAGTCTTACTCTGTCGCCCAGGCTGGAGTGCAGTGGCACACTCATGGCCATCCCAGTGTCAACCTGCTAGGCTCTTGCGATCCTTCCGCCTCAGCCTTCCAAGTAGCCAGAACTACAGGCGTGCACTACCACACCCAGCTGATTTTTGATTTATTGTAGAGACAAGGTCTTGCCAAGTTGCCTGGGCTGGTTTCAAACCCGTGGACTCAGGCAGTCCACTAGCCTTGGCCTCCCAAAGTGCTGGGATTACAGGCTGAGCCACCAAGCTTGGCCAATTTTTTGATTTATTGTAGAGGTGAGGTCTCGCCGAGTTGCCCAGGCTGGTCTTCAACCCATGGGCTCAGGTAATCTCTTGCCTCTGCCTCTCAAAGTGCTGGATTACAGGCGTGAGCCACCACACCTGGTTAAAATTTTTTTTTTACTTCTTCAAATCTACTTTCAGTCACATGCTTCTTTTTTTTTTTTTAACTTTTTTTTTTTGAGTCAAAGTCTTACACTGTCAACCAAGCTGTAGTGCAGTGGCATGCTCACAGCTACTGCAGCCTCTATCTCCTGGGCTTAGGAAGCCTTCCACCTCAGCCTTCTAAGTAGCTGGATCCATTGTGCCCACCACACCTGGCTAATTTTTCCATTTACTGTAGAGAGGAGGTCTTGTCATGTTACCCAGGCTGGTCTCAAACTCCTGAACTCACACAGTCCTCTTACCTCTGCCTTCCAGAGTGCTGGAATTACAACCATGAGCCATTGCACCTGGCCTTTTTTTAACTTTTAAAAAAGTGTAACATGGATATAGAAAAATAGACAGCCGGGCTCGGTGGCTCAGCCTGTAATTCCATGCTTTGGGAGGCCGAGGTGAGTGAATTGCCTGCGCCTGGGCAACTTGGCGAGACCTCATCTCTACAATAAATCAAAAACTATCTGGGTGTGGTAACATGTGCCTGTAGTTCCAGCTACTTGGAAGGCTAAGGCGGAAGGATAGCTGGAGCCCAGCAGGTCGAGGCTGCAGTGGCCGGGAGCGGCCACTGCACTCTAGTCTGGGTGACAGAGTGAGACTTCAACTCAAAAAAAAAAGAAAAGAAAAGAAAAGTAGACAAACCATAAGTACACTACTAGATCATTGATCACAAAGTGAAAACACAATGCGACACCAGGGAAAGAGTCTATCTCCCACCGTTCTCCTTTCTCCCTCCCCAAGGTAACCAATCTCCTGATTTCTAATTCCATAGATTAGTGCTGACCATTTTAAACATTATGTAAATACAGCGAACCGTTTCTATTTTTGTGCCTCTTTCTTTTACTCAGCATCATATTGTGAGATTTGGGTTTGTGGCATGTGACAATAGTTTTTCATTTACATTGCTGAGTAGAATTCCATTGTATTGATATATCACAAATTATCCATTCTAATATTGATGAACATTTAGGTTGTTAGGTTTTTGCTGTTAAAATAATGTCAAACAATTTCCCAAAGTAATTGTACTGATTTACATTAGCAGTATGTGTGATTTCTGATTTCTCCTTCTGCTCACCAACACTTGGCTTTCTCTCAGGTTGGAGTTTTAAAATTCACTTGAGAGCATTTTGAGATTGGAGAGAGAGGGAAGAGGACAAGGTCATAGGGAGGCTTGTGTTAAAATATTTCAATACTATACCTATTTGGGAGTTTTCTGCAAGTCATTGATGCTTCAAGAGCTTACTTTATATTTGACTTGTAACTTAGAACTGTGCTTTACAACACAGACAACTCTTGCCCTAACTTCCAATTATACCCATTCAGGAAAGGAGCCCTCAGGTAGCTTGTAGAAAAATTTGTTCTCTTACCAAAAGCTTCTACTTAAAGAAAATACACAAAGATAAAGCAACAACTTAAATAACATTTGAATATTAAAATCCATATGAGGACAGAAGATAACATTCCACATGCTCTTCTTGAATTACTTGAGGCAAGTGTCACTGTTTACCAAGGGTAAAATGGGAAATTAAAGCCAAGAGACAGGGTAATGAATCTGTTATTTTACTCTCTTTTTATAGGAATGAGAAATTCTGCTTGAGCTCAGTATGGTTTTTTTTCATTTGAGTTGGAGTCTCACTCCGTCGCCCAGACTGGAGTGCAGTGGCATGCTCCCAGCCACCACAGCCTTGACCTGCTGGGCTCTGGCGATCCTTCTACCTCAGTCTTCCAAGTAGTCGGAACTACAGGTGCATGCTACCACGCCCGGCTAGTTTTTTTGATTTATTGTAGAGATGAGGTCTCGCCAAGTTGCCCGGGCGGTTCTCGAACCCATGGGCTCAGGCAATCCACTCACCTCAACCTCCCAAAGTGCTGGGATTACAGGCTGAGCCACCGAGCCTGGCCAGAGCTCAGTATGTTTTATTAAAGGTAGAGGGTGGGAAGAGGTGGAAGAATGAAAAACATCTTTTGGGTACAATGTGCATTGGTGGGATGAGGGGTACACTTAAAGCTCCGACATCTTTGCCACTATATGATGCATCTATGTAACCAAAAACCATTTGTACCTCTAAAGATATTAAATTAAAAAAAAAATACTCAAGGCTGGACAGATCTTTACAGGTTACTGCTCTGGCTGATGACATGGTTCCTGAGAAATGGCAGCATTTGAACACTCAGTTTTGCACATGTCCTCCTGCCACCTTTCTCACTTAGCTCCAGTGACAGTGTCTTCCATTTTTCTTACAGGGACGAAGCTGAAATGGAATATTTGAAGATAGCTCAGGACCTGGAGATGTATGGTGTGAACTACTTTGCAATCCGGGTGTGTTGAAGCTTCTATGAGTTCCCTATGTAGTAAACAGATTGAATTAGAGCCAGACTGTTCAAGTGGGTTGCTTCTTCATTCCATGGTGATGGAATTTTTTACAGTTCAGTGATAAAGAAGAAAAAAGGAAGGGCAGTGAGATCTTAGAGCCTAATTTTCTTTTTTTTTTTTTTGAGTTGGAGTCTCAC